TTTCCTCTATCATTTTGTCCATTTTCTTTGTTAGTTTTTGTTTTTTCCATTTTTTCTTTAATTTGCTCTTCTTTATTTTCCCTATTCCTTTTGTCTTAGTTTTGGGTTGGCACATCGGAACGGTATGTGTTTGTCGGGTGGGCTGGTGCTGTAGTCCAGGTGGCTGACACCTAACACGTCGGGCCCAGGTGGTGAGCGTGCCCCTCCTCACGTAGGCCCTCTGTGATGAGCGTGCACCTGTCTACAGGGACATGGAAGCAGGCAGTGAAGTCCTGACGTGAGTGGTCAGCTGAAGCCAGTCATTCAGCCCTTCCTCCATGCCCATGTGAGCGTTCAGAGCTGTCGACTCTTCCATGCAGCGCTTTTGCTGTGTCTTATGTGTTTTTATGTATTATATTATTTTTAGTTTCACTGGTGAATTCTTGTTTTATTGGTGGGTTATCTGGAAGGCTTTTGCCTAATCTTGAATATTTGGAGGGGGTCCCAGACATCTTTTTGTGTCTTTGATTTCTAGTTTAACCCTGTGGCCTGAGAATGTGCACTGTGTGTCTCACTCTGAATGGGGAGGCCTGTTCTGAGGCATGGGTGTCAGCCCCTGGGTTGGTGTGGGGGTTGTGTCTGCTGCAGTCTTGGTGGGTGGCTGTCTCCTGGGCCTGATATCTGGTCACTCGGAGAGGAGAGGAGTGTGAAGCCTCCCCTGGAGCCTGATTTGTTTCCTGCTTCAGTTCTGCCAGGTTTTGCTTTTTTTTAGTATTTTCAGTCTATTACTGGGTTCACGCATTTTAGTCTTTTTATTTTTATTTATTTATTTATTTTGGTACCAGGGATTGAACCCAGGGTGTTTTACCACTGAGCCACATCCCCAGCCCTTTTTTAAAATTTTGAGATAGGGCTTCACTAAGTTACTGAGCCTGGCTTTGAACATGCAATCCTCGTGCCCAGCTTCAAGAAATGTCCCTTTTATCACCAGTGATGTCTTTGTCCCAAGAGTCTCCTTCGCGGCATGTCAGGTGGCCTTTTCCCTCTCCCTGGCTGGTCTCTTCCTGGATGTTCCTTGTGTGCCCGTAGCTGGCCTTGCCCTCTCACCTGAGGACGTGCTTCCTCGTGCAGTGTTCAGACCAGTCACATTGACCCTGATCAGTGCAGGCTTACTGTCCTGTCTGGCTTCTTTGTCTCGCCTTGGGCTGAGGAGCTGTACCATCGAGCTGCTTCCCAGGGCTTGCCGGGTTGCCTCCACCTTGTGCTCCCCTGCCTCAGCCTCCTGGGAAGCTGGGATGGCAGTGGCCCACAGGGCCTGGCTGGGCTGAGTATTTTCAGCACTCCATGACACCTCCTGTGTTTCTTAGGTTTCTTCTTTGTGGCACTCTGCATTTTCAGATGGCCGTGGCTGCTGCAAGCACCATCTACTCCAGGACAGAGAAGGACGCTGTCCCTGGGGCTTTGGGGCTGCTGTCACCCTTCATTTCACGGCAGCCCTGATTGGTCATGCAGTTCTGCTCTCAGCGCCAGTTACCTTTTAAAGCAGTTAGCATTGAGAATAAAAGTCTCCAATGTTTGCTTATGTATTTTTCAGTTTTTGTTCTTTTTTGTACTGACCAAAATTTTCAAACTGGTGGAGGGCCCCTTTACGCTCTTAATCCTTTAAGATTATTGTGGGCCTTAAAGAGCTTTTTAAGAAAAGTTCTATCTGTTAGTATTTTCCATATTAGGAATTTAAAAAAGAAAAAAATTTTAAATAATTTTAAGTCCTTAATTTTTTTAAATTTATTTTTTAATTGTGGTTGGACACAATACCTTTATTTCACTTATTTATTTTTATGTGGTGCTGAGAATCGAACCTAGGGTCTCGCATGTGCCAGGCAAGTGTTCTGTCGCTGAGCCCCAGCCTCAGCCCAGAAGATTTAAAATATTTAAAAATGGTAAACATAATTCATTTTATGTTAACATAAATGATGTTTTTTTAAAGTGAGAATAACTGTATTTTCCTAAGGAAAACATTTAAAAGTAGCGATATCTTATGTGGCTTGCTAGAAGACAACTGGGTTCTCCTATCCTCTTTTGCATTTAATTGATTATAATATGTTGTATTTCATTGAAGTTTATAAGGAGAACCTGGCTTCACATAGATGCTGCAACAGAGAAGAGGGTATTTCTGTTATCTTCTTGGACATGTGTGCACCTCTGCCTTCAATATCACACCAAAGCTTGACAGCAGCAGCTTCCCAAAGTTGAATCATAATGGAGCCTTAGAAAGCCATCAGCCAAAAGGACGCACATGCACTGAGCTCACCATTTTAGGGTGTACAGTCGAGTGTGGGGCACGTTTAGAGGTGTGGGGCCAGCCCACTGTCTCAGCAGCGGAGCACCTCACACGCCTGGAGGGAGCCCTGCCTGTCAGCATCACTGCCCAGACCTGGCAGCCCCTGGCTGCTTCTGCCTGGGCATGTGTAGAAGGAATCATGCAGTGAGTGGTCTCTTGAGTCTGCCTTCTGCCCCGTTCCTGTTTCCAAGGCTCACCTGTGCTGTGGCACGTGCCATTTCTCACTGGCCACCTCTGAAGGTTCAGTTTCCCCATCCTTGCTAGCACTTGTTATTTTCTTTTCTTTAAAAATTTTTTTTTGTAGTTGTACACAATAATTTTATTTTAGTTATTTATTTATTTTTATGTGGTGCTGAGGATTGAACCCAGGGCCTTGCACATGCAAGGTGGGTGCTCTACCACTGTGCCATAACCACAGCCCCTTTTGTTTTTTAAATAGCTTTCCTAGAGGGCATGAGGCAGTCGCTCCTTGTAACTTTTGTAATTAATGACATGGGGCCTCTTTGAGTCCTTTCGGGCCTCTGGTCTTCTGGTCTTTTGCAGCCTTCGGATCCTGGCCCAGTGGTGAGCTTTCTGCCCTGTTCAGCCCCAGTCTTTGTCTTCCTTGCACTCTTCCTTGGTCTTGGAACCAACTCGTCCATGGTTTCGGAACACAGTGTCTGTCCTGTGGAGTGCTGTTTAACCCAAAGTAGATCTCCTAGATGTCACCTTTTGTGGGCGCCATCTAGCTTTGGGTTGTAGAAACAAACATTCCAGAATTTTAGTTTTTGTTTGAGATTCGTTATTTTATCCAAGCAACAGACTCTGGCAGACGCTTTGATGACAGACATCCTCCATTCCACATCTAGCAGTTGGTGGCTTGACACCGTGTCTGACAGACTTGAAGGGCCTGGGTCACCAGGCACTATGATTGCCACATAGCAGAGGAGCCGTGGGCCTGTTCCCCATGTGGTCACATAGGATGTAAAGACATTACACTGAAGAGCACATTGAGCTTCAGTAAACCCACCAGTGTTTCCTGCTCCCAAGAGGATTGTAGGTAAAATAGGGCAGTTAGTGAGGTAGAGTCCAGTGACAGCCCAGTGCCATTTCCCTGGTTGTGTGGAGGGCTGGCAGTTCTCCGCCTTGGTTCTGCACCATCAATGCCAATGTTGGCGCTGTGAGAAGGTTCAACTCATCCTGGCATTTGGTGGGTGTAGTTCTGACCTTGTGCAGACCCTGGACATGTTTGCCCCGCGTCAGCTGCCTGAGTGTCCGTGTTTCTGTGTCGCTTTCTCCCCCTATGCATAGGTCCTGTGGCACTCTTACTGGTGGTTGTCTCCTGTTCAGAGAGAACTGCTGTTGGATGTGGAATCCTAGGCCGGCATTCTTTCCCCAGGACGAGAGGTGGTTCCTGCTGCTGGAGTATACCTTGGTGTGGGTGAAACTGGGTGACCGTCCTTGCCCAGTTCTGCCTTTGGAAGGCAGTCTTCTGTTCACAGCTCCAGGCCCCAGGACAAGGATGGAGGCGCTGGCCTCTCATTCCCACCCTCCACCCGTCTGGCTCAGCTCCCAGGGCCCAGCTTGCCCATCACCCTTCTTGCTGAGCTCTCTTCTATCTCCTTTGCCCTGTGGGTTTCCAGCTTTTAAATTTCCCTGGTCTGTGTGGATTTGACAGGGTTCAGAAATACAGGCAGATGTTTAATTTGCCAGATTTAGTCTCCTCCTCGGTGATTTTTTGTAAATAACAATTATATTTTCCTTTACATGACCATTTCTTCGGAATTTTGAAGTTAATTTCCACTTTAAGTAGGAGGATATGCTTTTGTATTTGTTTCCTTTTTGCAGTACTGGGGATGTAACCCAGAGCTGCGCATGTGCTAGGCAAGTCTCTACCAAGAGCTATCCCCAGCCACCCCTGCCTTTTACTTCACTTTGAGGTAGGGCCTGGCTAAGCCACCCAGGCTGGCCCGGAGCCTGTGAGCTCCTGCCCCATGCCTGGCTGCCTGGTACTTTGTACAGTGGTTCTCTTTTTCAAAGATTGAGCATTTATCTCAGGTTTGTCTGTCTTGATTAGATGTAGTCCTGTTTATAAGACTGAGATTTGTCTTTTTTCTGCTTTCTAATCCATGTTTTCTTTACATGTTATCGACTCTCCCTGTGTCCTTCCCTTGGCTCTCAGAGCAGCTTCTTTCTCATTGCTGTGGTTTGCAGGAGTAGCGTGTGCTCCGGTCTGGGGATGACATAGTCCTGCGCCTTCTGCTTACAGCTTGGACCACACCCCTAGCGTGGATGCACGTTTTTCCCTTCTCATCTCATCTGTGCAGTTGGGGGAGGAGAGAGTACGCATGTCTCTAGTTTTTAATGGTGTATAGCTCAGCTTTTAGTGTGAAATTTGCTGAGAGTTGTTTCCTGGTGGTTAGGGCAGGTGGGACCCATGCCCAGTCAGGCAGCCTGTCCTGAGCACACCTGCTGAAGGTGTTGGCAGTGTGTGCTGAAGGACAGCCTTGCACTGGCGCCAGGAGGCATGTGAGTCTCCTTGCCGAGGCTGGCTGACATTATTATCCATGGCCAGCCTTGGGTCACGTGAAACCCCTCCATCTCTGTGTCTGTGTCATGGGGCTCTCTGGGAGGGAAGATGGAGGTGCAGGTACCAGGAATGTAGAAGCCTCCTTCTTAACACATTCTTCTTCTACTTTAGGTAAATCTTAAAATGAGAGAAATAACAGAGAAGGAAGTTAAATTAAAACAGCAATTACTGGAAAGTCCAGCTCATCAAAAGGTAAAGAGCAAATTTAATATCTCTGGAATGCACTGTTATTGTTAATCCTAGTTTTAAAGAATTTGACCTGCAGCTACTACTTGCTTATTCTTATAACTCACCAAAAATGAAGCCAGCCTCTTGGATTCTCCCAGCAGCCTTGTTCTCAGTGCCTCGGTGAGGGCTGACCATGGGCGATTTGTCTCCCTTCCACCCATCCCTGGAAAGGGGTCGTGGTGCTTTGCCTGCAGGAGGGTGCAGGTGCACTGGGTGCGGGTGGGGGAGCTCTGAGTCAGGGGTGTAGGCTTACCTGGGAGTTAGCTTCTGAACATCAGCAAAGGAGGAGAGACTGCCCAGTGCCAGCGGTGCCTCTGTAGATCCCCGAGGTGGCCCCTGGGGTACAGTGGGACTGGTGGCTGTCTGGGAAGCCTGGTACCAGGTATCAGGTGGCAATGTGTGTTGAAGAATGGTGCAGATGGGCGTGTCACACGATCTGGGCATTAGTCTCTTACCCTGGCGTCATTTTCTCTTCTGCCAAGCACCTGTGTGGTGAGTCTGCCTCAGTTAGGTGTGTGAACGATGCCACCAGCCTGTGCCATCTCCCCCTGGAGAGCCAGGTCCTGCCTCCCCTCATGGCTTCCTCTCCCCACGACCAGCATTACACACGGGCTGCGGCCAGGCGCCTCCCTGGTCTGGCTTGTGGGCACCGTGCCTCCTTGGCCCTCAGATGTGTGCATGTGTGGACACTGACCAGGTGCTCCCCACTTGGAGTGGACTTCTTGCCTTGGTGCCCAGCCCTTCCCAAGTGCCAAGGCATTCTTTGCAAAGGTAGCAGGGTGTGTCACCTTCCCCTTGAACCGCCTGGGCGATGAGGTGTGCTGAGGTCCTGTCCAGCGGAAAGCTTTGACTCACTGAGGCTGTCCCACCTCTGCCGGGTGGGTGCCGTGTGAGCGCGCCTGCCGCCCGTGGACCTGCTCTGCTGACGCTCCTTTCACCTTCCTTCCTGCTTCCTGAGCAGTCTCCCTCCAAGTGGTATTGGAAGTTAGTGCCCGTAAGTGCCCCAGCCTCAGCTGCCACTGAGAGCATCCTGTTGCCATCACGCGCTTCCATAGAGCTGCTCGCACCCAGAACTGTTCTGTTTTTGTTTGTTTGTTGATTTAAATGTCCACGGGGGGTGGTTCCACTCTGTAGTGAGCAGGGTGGCAGTGTGGCACTTTGGAGCCCAGCTATGCTTCTCCCAGTCTCAGTGGCTTCTGTAGGTGGACAGTGTAGTGTGACTGACACAATGTGTCCCTTCCTGATAGACACAGAGGTGGATGATGGCCCACTGGCCGTGTTGCTTTTCATATGTCACACGTCCTTCCGATGTTCCCTTGTCTGATGGGGCTCAAATGTGACACCCCTAGTGTGCCTGCGCTGGGTTGTCTGCTTGGGATGATGGCTCACTTGCAGGGTGCAGGTGGACAGCAGAGAGGGCTTTTCCAGTATTTCTGTTTCTCTGTTGTCCTCCTTGTGGCCTTCTCCCTGGGCCTTTGTGGAGTGGGCAGAGAGGTGTGCCTGTATTCCCAGGCAACGATCTGAGTTAGGTCAGCACAGATGCGGGCTCCTGGAGTTGGGTGACTTTTCACGTGAGAGGAAGAAGCCAGTCACCTTGTGGAGTAGGAGTCAGTGATCCAGCTGTGGGCCGCCTGGTGGCCTACTCTGCAGAGGAGCCAACCTGCTGCCTGCCCTTGTCGGTGCTGTGGCACTGGGTGGAGCCTGCCCCTGAACTTCTGGACACACAGCTTTCTTAGTTGGCCTCTCTGAGCCCCTTCGGCTGCCTGTGTGCTATAGCTTCATTATTTGGCCCAGATTATCTTGGGCCTCCCTAAGTGGGGGACCTTGCTGCTCTCTGGATGTGTTAAAGAGGAGGGAGAGGAAATCACCCTATGGAGGCCTGCATCTCTCTCAGCCTGATCCAGAAGTGGTTTAGGTGTGGGCTCACATGGAGCTGTCCCACGGGGAGTGCCGCCTCCGATGGGTTTCGTGGAAACAGAAACACGTGACCAAGAGCAGTGACCCTGGAGGTTTTCCTTAGTGGAGAGCTTAGGACCATCCTCCCTGATGTTGGTGGGTGGCAGCAAGGAGAGGCTGGGTGAGGATGGGCAGGAGGAAGGTTTGCCTTAGTACGGGCAGCCTGAGGTTTGCAGAGCCGGGTCTGCACGGCTGCAGCGGGCAGACAGTGCGCCGCCCGCTTTCACCCATGCCTCCATCTGTAATCGAGAATCCATCTGCTTTGCTGCATGCCGTGCCCACTGCGTGTGTGCTGCCTTGGAAGCCTGGCCTGGAGCATGCCATTGCACACTGCATGCTGGAACCCGCGGACTTTGCACGTGTGGTACAGTATGAGGCGGGTGCCTGTGGGAGCAAGTGCCGGGGGCTCCGAGAAACAAGTTAGAGTGTGTGCTGGCCGTTCCATGGACATAAAACAAGCCTTACCACTAAATTTAGAAGAACATCGGGAGCTTGGGACATTTTATGCTTGGGACAAGTACTGATTGATACTCTACACAATATACTTACCAAGATATCAACTCGAAATTTCTAGATTGCCGAGACAATTCTCCAAGTTGGACTCATCTGCAGAACTCTCAGAAATCCACAGTCCTTATTGTAGACAGCTGGGTTTCTTCCTCTAGTTCTCCCTCTGGAGAAAATGTGGCTGGAAATGCTGTGCATTAACGCTGCACTGGGCTGCCGACACAGGAGACGTGAGTGCACTGCAGGCCCTTTTACTGACCGGCCATGCTCAGCAGATGGGGGCATAGAGCCGAGGGACCCGCCTGCTATGGATACCTGGCACGTGGTTCCTCTGAGTGCAGAAGTGTGGGAGCCTTGACCAAGTGTTTGTTTTATGAACACCTTGCACGGATTTAGTTTCCTGATGCTTTGTTGTATTTCTTAGAGTGGCTGACGGTTGCATTATGAGAAATTTTGTCTAAACTGGTTTCTGAAATTTCTCTGACACTATAATAATGCTGTTTTGTGGTTTTTGTAATGACCACAGTTCACGCTGCTAACCTTAGGAAAGTGACGAGCTCGCTCTTCCAAGCATCAGGACATTCACCACTTAACTTGTTTCTCGTTGGTTTGTCGCTGTTGGCTCCTGGTAGTGTAGACGTGCCTCCTGCCTCTGTCCTGGTGTGCCTGGTGCAGCGGCAGTGTAGTTGGATTAGCCTTGGCAGTGCGAGCCGTCATCGTTGCTACCAAGCACAGTCCTGGGTGGAGACGTGGACAGGTGTCTGGTCGTATGGGGTCCGGATACTGGGCTCTCACGGGGAGTACCGCTGCTGTCCTGTCTCCAGTGCCCCGTGGGTCCTTGCTGCAGCAGCGTGCCTCCCGCGAAGACCCTTCTCCTTCTGTCAACTGCAGGTTCGCTATCGGCGAGAGCACCTCTCGGCTCGGCAGGTGCCCTGCTTCCCGTTGCTGGAGGACTTGATGCGAGATGGCAGTGACGGGGCTGCTCTCTTGGCGGTTGTCCACTACTACTGCCCAGAACAGATGAAGCTGGACGGTGAGTGGAGCACTTCCTACAGGCCGAGGTGTGCACCTTGACACCAGCTGCCGCTTGCAGGCTGGGCTCCGGGGAGAGATCACATGTGGACAGTGTCTGGGGACCATTCCAGGCCTGGGTCTCACCTGAGTTGCGATGCAAGCTGGAGACCCTTCCTCCAGCTGACCTCAGACAGCTCCAACTTGGCTTGGGGATGCAGAGCTCCCTGCCAGGTTCAGCCTGTTTATCTGTCAGCTGGTGGCCTACGGCGGGTAGAGGGAGAAGCAGGTGGCTATGAGTGGCAGGGATGGTTGTCTGCCAGGGTGCTCTGGGGACACGGATCCTAAACGATTGGGGTTTGCCAAGTGCCCTTCTTTCTGGAACGGAGAAGCAGAAGGCCAGGGGCGAGCCCCAAGCAGCGCCCACAGGGAATATCTCAGTGTCAGTCCTGAGTGGCGTGGTGCCCTGTGGGAGTGTGGGTGTGCCATGTAGTAGTCTTTTTTTTTGATACTGGGGATTGAACCCAGGGTGCTTAGCCACTGAGCCACATCCCCAGCCCTTTATTTTTATTTTGAGAAAAGGTCTTGCCAAGTTGTTAAGAGCCTTTCTAAGTTGTTGAAGCTGACCTCAAACTTAGGATCCTCTTGCCTCAGCCTCTCAAATCACTGTGCCATAGGCACGGGCATATGGCACAGCACCTGGCCATATAATATTCTTTTTACACACAGAATCACCTCATAGACACAGAGCTGCCTTTTTGCTGGTCTGGTCTCAGATTTGTAAGTTCAACTGCTCCTATTGCCATAGCCTCCTGAATAGCTGGACCACAGGTGTGTGCTCTGGGCAAGATAGAGCTGCACTTGAAGGGCTGGGAGGCCCCTCTGCCTCCAGGGAGAGCCCACATGTGGGTCTGGGGGGCGAGGGGGGTGCCTCAGGGAGAGGGCTAGAACAACCCTAGGGTCACCCTCAAATTCCAGGAGGCTCCCCAGTGCCGTCTGGGTCAGGAGGAAGTGGGTGGGAGAAAGGCTGAGGCACTTTGCTCTGTGGTGTGGGTGTCTGGGGAAAGGTGGGTGTCAGAAGTGGCCGGGACCAGGGGGAATTCTAGCATAGAGCTTCCCTTCTGAAGCCACACAAGGAGATGGTTGTCCCCAGGCTCAGCACCAAGACAGGTGGGAGAGGACAGAAGGTGTGGCTTGGTGACGGATACAAAGGACAGAGCGGAGAGCCTAAGGAAGACGCGGGGATGCTCAGCGGCCTTGCTGGGCCTCCTGTGCCTCGCCAGGGCACTTTCGCCCTCACTCTCCTGCCCAGGGCAGTGCCTTCTTGCCGCAGTCTAGCTGGGCACAAATCACCGAGCCGCCACAAAGCACTTGTATCTACAAACAGGAAACTTTATTGCCTGAACTCCAACAGCATTCCACGCACACTCCCCGGAAACTCTCCCGAACGCCACCCACGCGGCTCCTTCAGGAACACACCACACACCAACCGGAACTCCCTCCACCGGAACTTCCCCAACCAACGCGAACTCTTCAGGAATCCCCGCGAGAGCTCAACCTGAACTCAACGGGAACTCCGTGAGAACTCAAAAGTCATCATCTTAATGGCTCGCTGGCGTCACCTCTCAACTACTACTTCTGGCAAAAATGCCATGTGTCATCCCAACTCCGCTGTGGCCCTCAACACCTTCTCAGCTCTGCCTTCCAGTCCGCTGACCCGGTTCTTCCTGAAGGACGTAGTGGGGATGGGGTTGTGGTTGGTGGTGAACAGCGCAGGGCGGCACAGCCGCGCTGAAGCCCAGAGCAGCTGGGAGCAGAGTGTCAAGATGGTGAAAGCAACAGCATTACAAGGAGTAGCCCACAGGGCCACGTGCGGCTTGACAGACGCTGAAGAGACACCGTCAACAGCCATCGTGGAGTGTGCTTTTTAAACATAAGCAGTTGAGGGCTGGGGCTGGGGCTCAGTGGTAGAGCACTTGCCTAGCCTGTGTGAGGCGCTGGGTTTGATTCTGAGCACCATTTACAAATAAAAATAAATGAATAAAATGAAGGTCCATCAACAACCAAAAAACAAAGCGGTTGAAGTGCATGTGCAGGCACCTCTAGAAGACGACCTTGATGGAGCCCACTGAAGACATGGCTGCAGACCTAGTGACACCAGAACTCCCCAGCAGAACATGGGAACCAGTCGCACAGGTGTGGCCTGCTCCCAGGCTCCTGTGATCCCAGTGGAGTGGCCAGCGTAGGCTCTCCACGGGCAGGTGTCCTCCTCTGCTGCTTTGGTCAGGCTCCAGCATTGATGTGGTGCCTGGGCAGATGGGCGTGGGGCAGACACTTGGAGTACGTCAGCACTCCACGACCTGTCAGACAGGAGGAGCTGTGCCCTCTGCTGCGCATTGTTAGAAGGAAGCAGCTTGGGAATTGGTTCAGCTGGGTTCACCGCGGTGCACAAAACTTCCCAGAGAAAGTTGTAGGGAAAAAATGGAAGTTTTTCTAATCAAAAGTGACTTCAGAACAAGGAGATTGGGGAACTGAATCGCACCTTCCCTCTTGGATGAAGCCAGGGTGCATCCAGACTCCTAACAGCAAGTCACCGACCAAGAAGTAGAACAGAAGGGCAAAGGAGCCCCAGCAGGGAAGAAGGGAGGTCACCAGAACCCTGGGGTGGCCGGTGAGAGCACCAGGGCTGCACAGCAGAGGTGACTCTGGCGCCTCTGGCCTCCGACCCTAGTGCAGGGCAGGCACAGGTGAGGGGGGGACACCGAATCAGGCGTTTCTGTGACATGCTCCCCACATCTCGCCTGCCCTGCCAAGTCTCTGTCCTTGCCTGGCTCCATGGGGCCGGTATGTGCAGTGGGGAGGAGTCTTCTCTGTAGAAGCTGGCCGGGGGGGTGACTACCACTAAGGACCTGCAGTTCTCTGCCAGGCAGCTGGCCCCCGCCTGGTACCTGCAGCCAAGCCTTCTTCCTGATGCTCCTGATGCCTTCCTCTCCATCCTCCTGTGGCTGGTTACCACAGGTCCCCTAATGTTTGGGACAGGAGGAGATGCAGTGGCGAGGGACAGAGACCCAGGAGTGGAACAGATGCTGGAAGGAGGGTCTGAGTGTCACAGATTAAGACCAGAGCATGTCCAGAAGCAGACTCCAACGAACTCTGGGAAGGGACATGCTTGGCTGCTGAAATGTCAAGAGTTCACTAATAAGCTGCATGACACACTTGAAGAACTCTCCCAGAAGTGGAGCCAAAGACAGCCATGAGGGCAGGGAGAGGAAGCTCACGGAGGGCATAGGGAGAGGAGGAGGGGATGCAGAGGAGCCAGCGGGGAAAGCCCAGGGTGCACTGGCAGGGCTTAAGGACCCAGGGCCTCGTGGTTATGAGGGCCACAGCACTCAGGCCGACACCCATGAGACGGGGTGGGAAGACAGCAGTGGGAGTCCTGGAGTGGGACACCACAGTGCCCCAGAGCCAGAGGCTCTGGTGGTCTGTTGTCGAGGGGAGGAGGGAGGCTGCAGGAGCACCAGCACTCAGGCTGGAGCGCCCCCCAGGGAACCTGTAGACCCGGGCAGGCAGGACACCCCGGAGGGGTTGCAGCAGGACCCAAGCAGGTGCTGTGCAGCTAACCTGCGGGAAGGGAAGCTCCCTCTGGAGCTGACCACCACCCTGCAGGGGGCCTTAGAGATGCCCCTCCTCCTGGGCCTGGCACTCCCACCAGGACAGCACAGTGGGTGTAGTCTGCCCCTCCATGCCAGGTTGGGAGGCAGAGTCGCTTTTAAGCTTAAAAAAATTCTCCGTGGTGTTTTAAGACTTTGTGTAACATGTTAAAAGTGAAAAATTTAAAAATTAAAGCAAATTCAATAGCAAAATAATAAATTATTAAAATAAAAAATTTTTAAGTTCTAAAGAAAAATATGTAAACTAAAAGCTTGTTCTTTATTTTGATACTGGGGATTGAATTCAGGGGCACTCTTCCACTGAGCCACACCCCTTTGTGTTTTATTTAGAGACAGGGTCTCACTGAGTTGCTTAGTGCCTTGCTTTTGCTGAGGCTGGCATTGAACTCATGATCCTCCTGCCTCAGCCTCCCAAGCTGCTGAGATTACAGGCGTGCGCCATTGCACCCAGCGCACCCCCCCCCCTTTTTTTTTTAATTTGGTGGCAAGGATTGAACCCTGGGCCCTGTACATGAAAGGCAAGCACTCTACCAACGAAGCCATATCCCCTAAGGATTTCTTTTTTCTTTTTTTGTGGTGCTGGGGATTGAACCCAGGGCCTTGTGCATGCAAGGCAGGCACTTTTCCAACAGAGCTCTATCCCAGCACATGATCCTCCCCCCCGCATTGGCTTTTTTTAAGAGGAGCTTTTACCCTGACACTAGGGATAGAGTGGTCTCTCCTGTGCCCCTGAGGGGCATTTGGGCTGCTTTCCTGACTGACAGATGGGAAATCCTGCATAAGGTGCTAGACGGCAAGGATGCAGCAGCCAGGTGCGTTCACGTGGCGTCCCAGAAGGAGCAGCTCTGGCCTGCTGGAGATGTGGCTTAACCTTCATGGCTCCTTCCCTGGGTGGCAGTGAACCCGGTCAGCATCTGCCCAGTACGAATGTCCTGTCTAAAACGCAGGGAGAACTGTTCAGAACCGGGAGTGAAGCCAACAAAAGGGATGTGAGAGAAAAGTGTGAAGTATTTTAAAAACTGGAAGAAAAAAACCACAGGCTTTTCTGTGGCGCTTGGAAGAAGACTTCGCTTTCTTGGGTGACGAGTCAAAGCCTGAGAAGTGTGATTTCTCCAGAGTGTTCTGCAGATTTATTGCCAATCCAATAAATACCTGTATTTTCATAGACACCAGCAGGCAGTAGGACTTTCTGCAGTCCCTGGGGGGCCCAGGCAGAGCACTCGTTTCGTAGCACTTTGTTTTGGTGAGCTTGCTTCAGGCAGTGCTCATGGTCTCTGTGCACTATGCCTCCAGCCTCCCCACTCATTGTGCTGTGTCACTGGGTAGCAGGGGCATTGTAGGCCACTCCTGGCCCCCTGGGTCCTTGGTTTCCCTTGGCTCCCTTGAATCTGCAGGCTTCTGCCTTCAGCTTGTGTGACCTTGTTGTGGGGCAGGTCCCTCCAGCACAGCTGCCCCCGTGGCCTTGGCAGTGCTGGCCTGGTGGGCTGAATTTCCCCACTTGACCGTGTGACTTGGCTTCATAGTGACTGGCTTGTCTGTGGGAGAGGTGGGGGGGCCTTAACCCCAGTTCTCATCAGAGGTCTGGTCCAGTCTCGCCAAGTGCCACTGTGTGGTATTCACTAGCATCCCGCTCCTAGAAGTCCACCCTTTGCCTGTAGGCTTATTTATTCACGTTTCAGAATACATCTTTATGCCCTTATAGATTTTTATTTAATTCAGTAGGTTTTAATTCATTTATTTCATTACTTAAATTGTTCCAGATTTTAGCCAAGTTTTTGTTTGTTTGTTTGTTTGTTTTTTGCAGTGCTAGGTGAAACCCAGAGCTCACAATTGCTAGGCACACTCTCCCATTGAGCTGTACCTGGGCCCTAGCCAGGTTAACTTTGAAGAACAAGAACATGGGCACTTGTTCTGTGAATGCCAACTTTTGTTTAACTTTCTGTGAGCTAAGATGGCATGACCCTGCTCAGGGATAGACACCTGTAACAAAAGACGTGCACACAGAATCCAGAAGAGAGACTGTAGGCTGCTGTTGCAGGGAGGGTCTTGCACTCTGCAGGGAGAGGAGAAGACTGATTAGTCTCAGTGGTGACAGACAGCACCCATCCTTAGACTAAACACCTAGACCTCAGAAGTACCAGTTAAGGTCTTGAAAAACAATCTAATTTGTACATACTTGTAAACCTTTGAACATTTTTTTTAAACTTAGAAATAAAGTTAATTTCAAATGAGTTAGCACCAGGCGTTGTGGTATATGCCTATAATCCCAGCAGGGTGGGAGGCAAAGGCAGGAAGATCTCAAGTTTGAGATCAGTCTAGACAACCTGGCAAGTCCCTGTCTCAAGATAAAAAATAAAAGGGCTGGGGTTGTGGTTCAGTGGTAGAGTACTCGGGATCCAATCCCCAGTACCCCACCCAGCCCCAAGGTGAGTGCTTCAACTTCTTTGGGGCTTTTTTTTTTTTTATATATATTTATTTTTCAGAAGTAGTTGGACACAATACCTTTATTTTGTGTATTTATTTTTATGTGGTGCTGAGGATCGAACCCAGGGCCTCACACATGCTAGACGAGCTCTCTACTGCTGAGCCACAATCCCAGCCCCACCCTTTTTAATTGCTTTTATTTTTTATATACATGACACCGGAATGTATCACAATTCTTATTACACACATAGAACACAGTTTTTCATATCTCTGTTTTTATATGAAGTATGTTCACACTAATTCATGTCTTCATACATGTACTTTGGATAATGATGTCCATCACATTCAACCATCATTGCTAACCCCTTGCCCGCACCCTTCCCCTCCCACCCCTCTGCCCTATCTAGAGTTTGTCTATTCCTCCCATGTTCCCCCTCGCTACCCCACTATGAGTCAATCACCTTATATCAGAGAAAATATTCAACATTTGTTTTTTTGGGATTGGCTAACTTCACTTAGCATTATTTTCTCCGACTGCATCCATGATTTTATTCTTATTTTATTCCTGTAAATGCCATGATTTTATTCTCTTTTATTGATGAGTAATATTCCATTGTGTATATATGCCACATTTTTTAATCCTTTCATCTACTGAAAGGCTTCTAGGTTGGCTACACAATTTAGCTATTGTGAACTGTGCTGCTATAAACATTGATGTGGCTGTGTCCCTGTAGTATGCTGTTTTTAAGTCCTTTGGATATAGTCCGAGGAGAGGGATAGCTGGGTCAAATGATGGTTCCACTCCAAATTTTCCAAGGAATCTCCATACTGCTTTCCTAATTTGCAGTCCCACCTGCAATGAATGAGTGTGCCTTTTTCTCCACATCCTCGTCCACAGTTATTGTTGTTTATCTTCATAATAGCTGCCATTCTGACTGGAGTGGGATGGTCTTAGAGTAGTTTTGATTTGCATTTCTCTAATTGCTAAAGATGATGAACATTTTTTCATATATTTATTGATTGATTGAATATTCTCTTCTGAGTTCATGTTCTTGGCCCATTTATTGATTGGGTTCTTGTTTTTTTGGTGTTTAGCTTTTTCAGTTCTTTATATACCCTAGAGATTAGTGCTCTATCTGATGTATGAGGGGTATAGGAAAAGAAGAACTTAAATTAGCACTATTTGCTGATGATATGGTTCTATACCTAGAAGACCCAAAAAGCTCTACCAGAAAATTTTTAGAACTAGTAAAAGAATTCAGCAAAGTAGCAGGTTATAAAATCAACACCCTTGGGGCTGGGGTTGTGGCTCAGCGGTAGAGCGCTCACCTAGCACGGGCGGGACCCGGGTTCGATCTCAGCACCACATTAAAAACATAAATAAATAAAGGCATTGTGTTGTGTCCATCTACACCTAAAAAATAAATATTTAAAAAAAAATAAAATCAACACCCATAAATCAAAGGCATTTCCTTTAATCAAGAGAAAAAACCCTGAAAAGGAAAAGAGAGAAAAAACCCCCTTTTAAAAAAGCCCAAAAAAAAAAAAAAAAAAACTTAAGAATGAACTTAATGAAAGAGGTAAAAGATCTATAGAATGAAAACTACAGAACCCTAAAGAAAGAAATCAAAGAAGACCTTAGGAGGTGGAAACATCTAGCTTGCTGTTGGATAGGCAGAATCAATATTATCAAAATGACCATACTACCAAAAGCACTATACAGATTTAATGCAATTCCAATCAAAATCCCAATGGCATTCCTCATAGAAATAGAAAAATCAATCATGAAATTCATCTGGAAAAATAAGAGATCCAGAATAGTGAAAGCAATCCTTAGCAGGAAGAGTGAAGCAGGTGGCATCACTATACCAGGCCTTAAACTATACTATAGAGCAGTAGTAACAAAAACTGCTGGTACTGGCACCAAAACAGACTGGTAGACCAATGGTACAGAATAGAGGACACAGAGACTAACCCACATGATTACAGTTATCTCATATTAGACAAAGGTGCCAAAAACATGCATTGGAGCAGAGACAGCCTCTTCAACAAATGGTGCTGGGAAAACTGGAAATCCATATGCAACAAAATGAAATTAAACCCCTATGTCTCACCATGCACAAAACTCAACTCAAAGTGGATCAAGGACCTAGGAATTAAACCAGAGACCCTACACCTAATAAAGAAAAAGTAGACCCTAATCTTTATCATGTGGGATTAGACCCCAACTTCCTTAACAAGACTCCTGTAGCACAAGAATTAAAACCAATTAAAATCAATAAATGGGATGGACTCAAACTAAAAAGTTTCTTCTCAGCAAAAGAAACAATCTGTGAGGTGAACAGAGAGCCTACATCCTAGAGCAAATTTTTACCCCCTTGGGGCTTTTTGTTTGTTATGGTGCTGTGGATGAAGCCCAGGCCCTGGTGCACTCTGGGCACGTGCCCTGCCTCTGAGAGCCAGCCCAGCTCTTCCTTTGTTTTAACATGACTTTCACAGCAAAGCAGAGGCGGACGAGGGACAGTCTTGACAAGGGACACTGTCTCAGAGTCTCCTTTTTAGTGGCCTAGGGAATCCTTGCCTGTACTGCATTTACTGATTGAGGGCATGACATCCTGCATTGGCCTCCCCCTGAGTGTGATAGCAAAGATCTCTGTTTCATGGAAGAGACGTATGCTGTGCAATCTTCTGGTCTGGGGACTCTGACCTTCCCTAATAGTTTGGATTTTCTGCTTTTCCCTGCCCACACCTTGCCACCTGGACATAACCGTGTGCACAGGGTTTCCATTGCCAAAGGAAACCGCCATTCTCTAGCCACATGCAGCAAGGCTCTTTTGCAAACTCAAAAACTCAAAGGGGAGAGCGCAGTGGAAGACCACCCTTGGAATTTCAGGGTTTCTGTGGGATGCATAGGGTTAGCTATCTCATCGCTTTTCCTTGAGCATTTTCCTCCTGTGTCTATTGTCGTGTGTAAAGCTTACTCACAAGGTGGTTTTGTTCAGAGTCACACCTGTGTGCACCCCCTCGGGGCAGAGTGCTAACACTGCCTCTCTGTGTCTGCTAGACATTTGTCTAAAGGAGGTGCCGTCGCTGGCCGACAGCCTGTACAACATCCGGCTGCTGAGGGAGTTCTCCAACCAGCACCTGAGCAAGTGCTTCTACCTCACCCTGGAAGACATGCTCTACGCGCCCCTGGTGCTCAAGGTGAGGTGGCCCCTCACCTGTTTCAAGGCCGTGAGCGCCGTGCTCACAGTGCTCACAGGGCTCATGAGGGCTCACGGTGTGCCTCTCTTCCCTTCAGCCAAACCTCATGGTCTTCATTGCTGAGCTTTTCTGGTGGTTTGAAAATGTCAAGCCAGACTTCGTCCAGCCCAGGGATGTTCAGGAGCTGAAAGATGGTGAGTGACCACCTGCACCATCATGCCTAGGCTCGAGCAGCCTACCCAGAACCCTGTGAAAGGCAGGCGGGTTGGCTAGCTCCTATTTAGAGTAAGCTATTCTCCCTGAACATATAATGTGTCAAAATACACTCTACTGTCATGTGTATCTAAAAAGAACAACAATAAAAAACTGCAGGTAGTTTTCTGTGCTTCTTGCTATGTTCTAAGTAACCATGAATAATATGAATATTTCTGTAAAATTGCTATTTTTGCAGCTAAAACGGCATTGCAGCAGAAAAGTAGCCGGCCTCCTGTCCCCATCTCCAATGCAACCAAGCGCAGCTTCCTGGGCAGCCCTGCTGCACTGAGCCCCGCTGACCTGCCGCCACCTACTCAGCCACCAGCCGAAGGCGGGCATAGGTACCACCTCCATCCCGAAGAAGCTGAGTGTCTGTAAGTCACTCTGTGCTTTCCAGAATTAATTCACTATCTTGTTTCCCTTTTCATCGTCGCCCGAAGTTTTAATTAAAGTTATCTTTTCAATAGGTCATACATAAAGCACAGAAGAGTAGCCGTGGCAGCCTGTGCTCCTGCCCTGACCCTCTGGCCAGAGGCCAGCAATGGTGCCAGCCTCTTGCGGGCCCTGGTGCCTAGTTCTTTCAAGCCCGTGCTTCCAGTTCTGGTGCTATCCACAGCATAGGTGTTTCTCCAGCTCTGTCCACAGTAAATCACATAGTTTAACATGGTCTGAAGAGTAGAAGAATTAAATGACAGTTTAAATTTGCTTTGTTGCAGAGTCTGATAGGATGTGTGTGTGTAGAATATATAAAGAATGAAATCCTCTTTGCATCTCAAGTACTGTGAATTGTTTTCTCAGAGATAGACCTACCCAGGAAGAATATCAGTTTGCTTCTTTAATTTCAGCAAGCAATTAACTTGGCTCTGGTAAGACAGTAAACAGAGCTGTTTCAAGTGTTTTTGGTCATCGGCACCTGACTGGACTGAGTGGATCTGGGGCAGATTGGCAGCTGCAGGGCAGGATGAGGGAGTCTGTGCCTGGCGTGTGAGCATGTTGACGCACCTGTCATTGTCTGTTATTGCTGTTACTATTACTCTGTGGTGCTGGGATGGAATCCAGGGCCTGCCTCAGGCTGAGCAAGCGCTCTACCTCTCAGCTACACCCTAGCCCAGAAGGTAGTTTTTAAACGTGGAGATTGAGCTAGGCTTTAAGAGTACAGCAGTACTTAGAGTGATTTTTGAGCAGAGCTTGTTGCTGAGTGATTCTGTGGGGCATGAAGACCTCTGTGGTCTTGGGCTGCAGAGTTGAGTCAGGAGGAAGGAGTCCTTGGAGGCGGAGGCAGTTCCCTGGTGCTATTCAGGGCGGGGTTTGCCGTGTTCTGTGTGGGGCTCTGAGGCCTGGAGACGGACTCCTGGAGAAGAGGTGGAGCACTCTGGCTGACATCTGTGCTGAGGCACGGGTGTCCGTTCTCCATGCGCCTCTCCACATTCCAGTCCCACATCAGCAGTGTGTGTGTGCACACAGACGTTATGGGTGCTGGGTGTCATGGGTGCACGCTGTGGGCCTGCTTTCTACCTCCCTGTGCACCCTGAGGTTTTCGCTTATTGGGATCTCTCCTGCAGCACACTCTAATAACTGTTTCTCTTCGCAACTGGGCTGGCGGCTAATAGCCATAGGAGCTGTGAGCAGCTCTGGGCAGGTGTTCCCCTGCCTGCCCAGCTCCTCGGGGACCCCTGCACCCCCAGCCATTCTGCTGGCAGCCACACTGCTCCCTAACTCTCTCCTACCCCCTCCCGCTGTCTTTCTCTCCCTCCCTCTTGCTCTCTCCTGCCTCTCTATCACCCCCTCCCCATTGTCTTTCTCTATTCTGACCCTGGATGACCCCCTGCCTTTGTGTCTGTAGGCTTCTTAGCTGTGGCCAGGGGACTCAATCTGCTCTTAACTTTGTCACTTCTCCCTTGTCCAAGTTCTCCTGAGAGTGAAATAGCCAGAGTAGCTGCCCTGTGAGGCCAGTGTTCCGACTGCTGGGAGCCATGCCCACTGACCAGTGCCCTTCCTGCATCTGTGGGGCTCTTCAGGGGCACACCTCACAGCACAGCTGTACACGCACCTCTCGCTGCCCCTCGCCTTTCTGGACTGTAGGGCAGAAGTGGAAGTGCTGCGGGCAGCTCTGGAGCTCCTGGTGGACATGGCTCTCACGTCCTCAGCCACCAGGACTGTACAGCACCCCTGCTTCTCTGGGTGTGGGATCCCGTTCAGGTCACTCAGAGCCACCTGAGTTAGAGTTAGCTGGATATGGTGCGGTCATCTTTGTGGTCTTTCACTGAACCAAGAATGTGCAGTTTTGAAAGTCATCTTTTCCAGGCAATTGCTTTTTCTCTTTTTTGCTTGTCTCAAAAGATCACCTGGCCGTGTGCTTGAGTGTTGCTGGGGGCTTGGGAACTGGCTGTGTTACACACTGTAACCAGAAGTACCATATCCCTGTCTGCAGCTGTGGATTTTTATCTCAAGTTTGAAGTTCTTGGTATTCTTTCTTGGTTCAATTTCATAGAAATCAATTTTTGCCAGAGAACTTTTAAGTTGTTCACTCCTTAACATGAATTCATAATGGTCTGTTATTTTATGTGCATTTGATTTGGAACTTGAAGTTTGATTAACTAGTGATTTTTTTTTTTTCTCAAATTCTTTTTCCATTTAGTGGGAAAGGAACTTCTGCCTTTAGCCCTTCCCATCCTTTATTGCCACTGAGGCAGAAGCAGCAGAAAGCAGTGCAGGCAGAGGACAGCCCTGGTGAGAGCACAGTCCCCTCCACAGCCCCTTCGCCACCTCTTCTCGCTACTGTTGAGTAAAATAATGTTCCTCAAAACTGAATCATCTAATTCTGGTGTAGTAATTTTAGTTAATGTTTGCAGAACAAGTTTTAATTTGTATTGATATGTCTTAGAATTTATCATTCTATAGTTACAGTGCCAATAATCTAATAAATCCCATGTGGCACCCACTGAATTGGTGTGCCGTGCCTAAGCAGGAGCTGTTGACAGTCACCCAGTGTTGTCTTTGTGCTTTGGGCTGGTTGCTCCTCAATCATACACGACTCATCATTGGGACTGTTGAAAGTGGCACTGTTCTGATGGTCTGCTTGCTTGAGCAGCTCTGGCCTGTGAGTTAGGCATCATTTCCTGGAGAAGTGGCAGCTGATTGAAAGAACTTCCACTGGTGCACAGTTAGTCACTGATGCTGAACTTGCTTGTTTTCCTCCGAACTGCAGACCAGCGACATCGATCTAACTCTTTAACCCGAGTCGATGGCCAGCCACGAGGTACGGCAGTAGCGTGGCCAGAAAAAAAAGCCAGGTGAATCACTTTGAAATGATACATTTCTATTTGGGGTGTTCATGGGACTGAAGCTGCAGTTCTCCAAATGCTTCCAGGCCCCTGAAGGGCCTCCAGGACTCTTGGAGAGAGCTCACAGGCCCAGTCATCTCCATAGTGGTGCCAGGTGCTGACCGCCCTTTTTGTCTTGTTCTCTCATGGGGTGCATGTGGATGTTCCCGGTGGCCATGTAACATGTGGTGCCATGACAGTCAGGTGTGAGGGTCCTGCCAGCCGGCATAAAGGCTCATAGGATCAAATCATGTCACTGATAAGATAACAGGGAGTTTTCGTGTCATAAGCTTGTGATAGGCTTGTCATAGTCACAGTAGTGACTGCTCATCGGCATTTGGAGCATACTGGAGTTTTAATTTCTACTATGATGAACCGAGTCATATTGACAAGTATAATAAAAGCTCTTAGGAGTCCTCAGTAATTTTTAATGATTATTAAAGGGGTCTGGGACCAAAAGGTTTCAGAATCACTAAGCTACAGTTGTTTCTGGTTCTCTTTTCTCCGGGGAGGGGTTTACTTAGGTGCCCTATACTTGAGGTTTGTATTCTTTTCGTAACTAGAGTTCTGCCCCAGACTGTCACATGGTCTCAGGGGTATGTGGCGGCATGTCCAATGGGCTTCTCCTCTGCGTTTCAGGCCAGTGTCCCAGCCAACACCCTTTGCTCTCCACCATGCTGCGAGCTGTGACGTGGACCTTGGCTCTGGTGACAGCGTCAGCCTGGCGCGCTCTATCAGCAAGGACAGCTTGGCATCCAGCATTGTTCATCTGACCCCACAGAACCAGCCCTGCCCCACAGCTGGGAGGACCAATGGGAGGAGCCTCCTGAGCAATGTTAGTATTGAGGATGAGGATGAGGAGCTGGTGGCCATCATCAGGACAGATGTGTCTCCCCACTGTGTGGACCCGCAAGGCCCCAGGGCCTCGCCGCGGGCCCCAGGCCTAATAGCAGGTGCCAGGTCTCCCCAGAGGCAGGTGGATGCCCTAGAGAATAAGCCTGACAGCTTTTTCTTGGAGCCCCTGCTGCCAGCAGTGCTGAGGCCGGCAAAAGAGAAGCAGACCACCACCAAGGAGGATGAGCGAGGGGAAGGGAGACCTCGGAGCATTGTGCCCAGGAGGCCCAGCGAGGGCCCTCAACCTGCTGCCCGGAAGAAGGCGACCGGCCGTCGTGACTTGAATAGCACTTTCACCCCAATTCCGTGCTCAGAGCTTGCTGCTAGCACTGACCCTGCAGAGCGGGGACTGCGGTCTGCAGAAGCTACAGAAGTGCATGGGGGCGCTCTGGCCTTTGGCGGATTGGATCCGTTGTCTCAGGGACAGTCTGCTGATGGCTTTTTCCTTCACCTAGGCAGGGCTGATGGAGACACAGAGGGGAGGTTATGTGTTGGCTCAAGAAGCCCTGGCACCCCCGATGAGGAGCCCTGGGCTGTCCTGAGGCCAGATTCTGACTCTGACGTGGGAGACCTAGAGGAAGTGGAACAGGATTTCATTGGCGAGGACCCTGCCGTGGTGATTGCCAGGTACGCCGGTGAAGAGGAGTCAGCCAAGTTGCAGGAGGACATGAAGGTGAAGGAGCATGAGGACAAAGATGATGCTAGTGGCCGCTCGAGCCCATGTCTGAGCACTGCCTCTCAGCTCAGCAGCGTATCCATGGCCAGTGGAAGCGTGAAGATGACCAGCTTTGCTGAGAGGAAGCTCCAGAGACTCAATAGCTGTGAAACCAAGTCCAGTACCAGCAGCTCCCAGAAGACCACACCGGACGCATCGGAAAGCTGCCCAGCCCCTCTGACGACGTGGAGGCAGAAGAGAGAGCAGAGCCCAGGCAGGCACAGCCGGGACCCTGCCAGCCTCCTGGCGTCTGAGCTGGTGCAGCTGCACATGCAGCTGGAGGAGAAGCGCAGGGCCATAGAGACCCAGAAGAAGAGGATGGAGGCCCTGTCTGCGCGGCAGCGCCTGAAGCTGGGCAAGGCCGCCTTCCTGCACGTGGTGAAGAAGGGGAAGGCTGATGGTGCCCCTCAGCCACTGAGGCCAGAGCATTTTGCAAAGGAGTATGCTCAGCACAATGGCGAGGACTTTGACAGTGGCATTTCTAAGTCAGAAGCCTTCCTCGCCAAGGAAGAGCAGAGGGAAGATCTCAGTGAGTCTCAGGACATAGACAGAGAAAGCCTGGCTTTTGTCCAGCTTCATAAGCCCAAAGACCTGACGGCTGTGCATGACGGGGAGAAGGGCAGAGCGCTTTCTGCTGCTCTCCTGGAGGACGGCATTGGCGAGGTGGGAGACCTGAGCGAATGTGACCTTTCCATTGAGAAGCTGAACGAGACCATCAGCACGCTGCAGCAGGCCATTCTGAAGATCTCCCAGCAACAGGAGCAGCTCCTCATGAAGTCCCCCACGGTACCAACGCCAGGCCCTAAAAATAACTCTCAGGACCAAAAAGTAAAGACCTCAATCCACTTCGTTGAGCCACTTTCTCCGACTGGGGTGTCTGGTCACCGCAAACCCCCCCGTCTGGGCCAGAGCCGGAGCTCCCGTTCAGGAAGACCAGCTGAGCTGAAGGTTCCAAAGGATAGGCAGCAGGGCTCTTCTCGGAGCAAGACCCCAACACCCAGCGTGGAGACCCTCCCACATCTTCGACCTTTCCCCTCTGGTGATCACCCACGGACACCTCCCGACCCGGGCGTGGACAGTGCTGCAGCCCCCGGCAGCAACCCTCCTGAGAAGTGTCTCTTGGACAGTTACAGGCTTCATGATGAAAGCAACCAGCGGACATTGGCTCTGTCCTCCTGCAAAGAGGCAAATGTTCTGTCAGAACAGATGAACTTCACAGAAGCTGTGGACACGAGTGGGAAAGAGGCAGGGCTGCACTCCTCCGACCCCGCAGGGAGCGACCACGTTCCTGGGGAAGAGCCACTGAGGAGCAAGGCCAGCCTCATCGAGGTGGACCTGTCCCACCTACAGGCCCCCGATGAGGACGGAGAGGGGGCTGGCCACACGGGCTCTGTGGACCTCCTCAGCGACAGTGACCAGAAGCCTGGGCTTGGCTTCTTCTTTAAGGTGAGTTGGTGGCCCTTGTGCTGTGTTGCAAGAATCAAGGCTTCAGGCAGGTGCATCAAGAGCCCTGGGGGGAGCTTGGTGGGCTCCGTGGGCTCATGGCTCTGGAAACAGCCACAGAGACGCTCACAGATGAGCAGGGCTGCATGCAGAGACTTTCTGTGAACCTGATTTGACTCTCCTGTATCACAAAGTATGTTTTTTCAGCTGTTTTTAACAGTTGGAGAAATGGTTGGCAGCTGCAGGCGGGGTTGCCCACCCTGGCTGGGCAGCACCTGGGCAGCAGAGAGGCTCTGCAGCATCTTCCCAGGGGTGAGGAGAGACACACTGGGGCTACTTTTCCTGAGACCAGACAGTGCAGTCCTCGGGCAGCACCAGACACACACTTTATTTGGTGTTTGTGCTTTTAAAATGAAAACACAGTTAATTTGGGTGTTAGCTCAGTTTGGAAATTTACTAATAGTGTTCAAGGCTAGCTGAACAAGGCATTTGGAAAGGTGGCCAATTGTGAATCCCTGTTGAACAGCATTTTTTTGTGTGTGTGTGTCAGTAATCTATAAAGGACATTTATTTCTTAGTTCAAAAGTAAAAGTTTTAGGGTAGCGTTAAAATTTTCTAAGTGTATATCAAAATCTGCTGGGTTGCCAGGTGTGGCTCACGCCTGTAATCCCAGGGGCTCAAGAGGCTAAGACAGGAGGATTGCAGGTTCAAGGCCAGCCTCGGCAACTCATTGAGGCCCTAAGTAAGTTAGTGAAAACCTGTCTCAAAATTTAAAAAAAAAAAACAACAAATGCTGCAGGATGTGGGGGCCTTGGGATGTGGCTCAATGGTAGAGCCCCTCCAGGTTAAATCTCCGGTATAAAATAAAAAACTATGTGTTGAGGTGCGCCTGGGCCAGGCAGTTCCGGGTGTTTCCTGTACTGTCACTGACCACCAGACGACGCCTGTGCAGGACGAACAGAAAGCAGAAGATGAACTTGCCAAGAAGCGGGCGGCCTTCCTCTTGAAACAGCAGCGCAAGGCCGAGGAGGCTCGCGTGCGGAAACAGCAGCTGGAGGCAGAGGTGGAGCTCAAGCGGGATGAAGCCCGGTAACCTCCTCTCCTGGTGCCCCCTCCGTGCCTGGCAGGGCAGCCTGGGTCCCGTGAGCCACAGGGATGATCAGGGCTGGCAAGCCCCAGTCTTAGTAGTGCCCTGCAGCCGCCTTGCTGCTCTCCATGCTGTCCCTGCTCAAGGCACTGGCCCTGCTGCAGGTCTGCGAGGGGCTGTGCCAGGCTCTTCCCTGGATGGTCTTCAGTCGTATCACAGCCCCGTAGCTGTGTGCTCATCCCATTTTAATGTCGAGGCCACTAGCATGTGGTGCAGCAAATAAGTTGCCCGTGGCCCAGCGCTCTGGTGGGGCTGCGGTTTCACACCAGAGGCTTGGTCCAGGGCCCACCTTTTGACCACTGTGCCCCCCGTGGAAACTGGCTTTCTCAGCTCCAGGGGCCCTAGAGATGCCCAGCCACAGAGCCTGGGTCCCCTGTGTAGGAGGCAGGTCCAGGAGGGGCGTGGTTTGGGACCCCGTCACTCAGTGCTGTGGGGAACCACCTTGGCTCTCAGGCGTAAAGCTGAGGAGGACCGCATCCGGAAGGAGGAGGAGAAGGCACGGCGAGAGCTCATTAAGCAGGAGTACTTGCGGAGGAAGCAGCAGCAGATCCTAGAGGAGCAAGGGCTCGGCAAACCCAGGTCGAAGCCGAAAAAGCCGCGCCCAAAGTCCGTGCACCGGGAAGAGTCTTGCAGTGACTCTGGGACCAAGTGTTCCTCCACCCGTAAGTAGCCCCTGCCGTCTGCCACCTGCAGCTGTGCTTGGCGTGGAGCGCTTGAGCCGGGCAGGGTGCTGGGAGCCTCCAACAGTGTGGAGGCAGCCAGGCATCCCCAGCCTGTGGGGTGGCTGGGCCTTCCCCGAAGTCGGTTGCTCCTGCACATTGCCCTGTGCTTCGTCTCTGCAGCGGATAACCTGAGCCAGACTCATTCCGGCTCCAGCCTGTCCTTGGCCTCTGCAGCGACCACGGAGCCCGAGAGCATTCACTCAGGGGGCACACCTTCGCAGCGGTAAGGAGCTGGGAGAGTGGAGCTTCTGGGTGGAAAATGGGTGAGGGTGGCTTTGTCGCTTTGATCTGGTAGAATTCCAAGTTCACAGCAGGGTGGCTGTGGTGGAGGAGCCACGCCTGCCTGGCACAGCTGTCTGCTCTGTGACTCAGCGTTGGCCTGCCTTGTCCCCAGCCCACGTGTGTGTCCACGTTCTCCAGTCTTCCAGGAGTGAGCCAGGGCGGCACCCTGTGTCTAGGCAAGCTTGACTGGTTGCCAGGACCGGGTGTCTTTCTGCCACATGTAGTTGTCAAGCCAGCACTTACCTGACCCACGGGCCGCATCCAGTTGTCATCAGTGAGCCCAGTCTGCGTCTGTGCCGATGCCATCGCTCTTCAGTGTCCTTTAACTTGGGACAGTTCCTTGACCTTTTCTGGCCATGATGTTCTGAGATGCTGAGCAGTTATGCTCCCATCTGCTTCCCGTGGCAGATGGGTCACGAGCGCCCACTCTGGGATGGAACAGCTAGTGTGAGGCCTTCCTCCAGCAGCAGGCCGGGCGGGTCCTGATCCCGTCAGTTTACTTGGATCATTAAGGTGGTATCAGCTGTTTTCCCACTGGCTGTTAACATCTCCCCTTTGTGATTAGAGGGATTGTCCAGGCAACATGGGGCCCACCTAGACATCGCTGAATGTGTCTGCCCAGCCTTGGAGCCTCCCTCGCTCCCTCCCATGTGGTGCTGCTTCCTGTAGAGCCAGGGCCCTCCCTCCTCTCCTGGTGCCCCCTCCATGCCTGGCAGGGCAGCCTGGGTCCCGTGAGCCACAGGGGTGACCTGTGGTATTCCTGTGTTCACGTATGTGCCTGCTGTGTCTCCTGGCTTTGTGGAGGGTTCCTCTGACGGGCCCCAGGTCCTGCCTGGAGGTTTCTTCTGATGGTCAGCGGCCCAGCTAGACTCCACCCCAGCACTGTCTGGCACCCTTTGGAGAACAAAAGCCTCATGTCTCAGAGCTCTGTCCAGCTCTTGGCACCTGCCATGTTTGGTAGGGACACTTCTGCAAGCATAGCTCAGATCTGCCAGGCAGAGTCACTGACACAGGGCTTTCAGACTGGGCCCAGTGGGCTTCCTTCCTGGGTTGCATCCCTGGCTGACAGCAGTACAGAAGGCCTGCGCCAGCAGCAGCCCTTGTGCCCTGCTTCAGTGGACAGCAGCCCCAGGCTAAGCGTGAAGGCGCACTTCCTCCTGCAGAGGGCCCACCCCAAGTGTTTGCTGTGTCTCTTTGTCAGAGCGCGTGTGGGGTGGCAGTGTGCTTACCCACCCCCACCTTCCCCAGAAGTCCGCTGCTACAGGGTGCCCATACCCTGACGATGCGGATGGCGGTGTGGGCTGACAGGTGCAGTGGCCACGTGCTGGGTGTGGGTGGGAGGAGGGAGGCTGAAGCTCTGCTGGCCTCACCCTGTGTGCTTTACTGCCTGCAGAGTGGAGTCCTTGGAAGCCTTGCCCATTCTGAGCCGCAACCCAAGCAGGAGCACAGACCGGGACTGGGAAACGGCGTCGGCAGCTTCCTCCCTGGCCTCAGTGGCCGAGTACACAGGTGATGGTCACAGTCCTTGAGGTCACTGTGCATGCAGCCTCATGCTTTGGCTTGGCATTCTATAGAATACCAGTCTTCCTGTGTCTGAGGGTGTTTTCCTGTTACTGAGTAACAGCTGTGTGGCTCTCGGTGTCTTTGTAGTGCACCGTGGACTAGGGAAGCCCCTGGCCCAGCTCCCGTGGCCTGCCCTGCAGTGGCATAGTGCTGGCTCCAGCCGCCTTCAGAGTGGTGCTCAGGGCAGGTACCACACAGCCTAGGTTAGGCCTTCAAAATTACCTCCTGAGCTTGTCATTTTTATAGTAACGAACCCAAAGTTAGAAAGTGGATAGGTATTAATCATTTTAACCTTTCATCTACCATTTCAAACTCACAAATGGGACTTCTCAAATCCATTTGAAGCAGTCCTCACTGCCCGTTTTCTGGAATGCGTGCATGTCCACGATGCTGCTGCTCTTTTCCATGTATTTGTGCCTCAGAATTTCAATTTTGCAAATCTTGGTCTGGTTTCTTAGGTCCCAAGCTCTTCAAGGAGCCCAGTAGCAAGTCCAACAAGCCCATCATCCACAACGCCATCTCCCACTGCTGTCTGGCCGGGAAGGTGAACGAGCCTCACAAGAACTCCATATTGGAGGTAAACGCCAGCCGCACGGTGGCTGTGAGCTGTTTGTGGGTTATGGGGCAGCCAGGGAGGGCGGGCATGTAGCTTTGTGAGCCCAGGTTGTGGTCGGGACCCTGAGAACTAGAGAGTTGGTTCTGGTAAAGTGCTGGTCACTGTTGCCATGTTGACAGTCTGCAGCTAGCGTGGGTGTGGCTTTGGTTCTTTTATTATTTATTTTTTGGTCCTAGGTATTGAGCCCAAGGATACTCTACCACTTGTGCTACTCCTCTCATCCTTTTTTATTTTGAGAAGGGGTCTAAGTTGCTGAGAGTTTCACTGAGTTACTGAGGCTGGCCTCAAATTTGTGATCCTTCTACCTCAGCCTCCTGAGTATGGCTTCCATCATCTCATAGGAGGTGATGGTGGCCTTCCCAAGTGGAAGTAGAGGCCTAGTTAGGATGTGGCTGGTGCTTCGCAGTGGGGAGCTTTCCGTTGGGGTAGAGGAAGAGGGAGGTGTGCTAGGATGGGCCGGCCCTGCCCAGTGCTGTTCTTGGCTCAGGCTGCACCCTGAGCAGTGGACTGTGAGACAGGTGCATCAGGTGAGGTGCTGCCTGAGGAGGGGTCCTGTGGTGACTCTGGCCACACTGCCTATTCTGCAGCAAAGACCGTCACAGGCCATGTGTGGGCAAGTGGCTGTGCCTGGTCCCCAGCAGGCTGATTGACAAAGCCAGGGCAGCCCCAGGTGGCTTGAGGGCTGTAGGTCAGAAACTGATAAGGACTTGGGGAAAAATAAGAAGCAGGCTGCCTCAGGGTTGGGTGCTGGGAGTTCCCGGGTCAGCCGCAGTGCCTGGTGGTTGAGAGAGAGGCCCTAGGTCTTGGCTGAGAGCCTGGGGCCCAGGAAGGTGGGTGCTGCCTTGACTGGGCTGACTGGAAGGCCTCCCTGCGTCCAGCTGTGTGCCCAGTGGGTGTTTAGGAACAGACCCCTGAAGCTCAGGGTGAGCTCTGCCTGGCTCCTCAGACGGCGGGAGTGGAATTCCAGGAAGACGTGGGTACCAAGAACCCCTGCCCCGCACCTCAGGCGCATTTGTGACCTTGTGGAACAAGGGCTTCCGAAAGAAGCCTTTGCAAGCTGCCCGCCCGCCCTCAGAACTGGGCGCTTCAGTAGCACGAGGGGGTGTGGGTTGGTGAGCCCAGGAGGGAGGCTCCTTTCTTAATAGCAGATAATCTGGGCTGGTGCATGCCACCCCCTGCCCCTTCAAGCCTTTCTTGTGGGAGTGGAGACAAGCGGCCTGTGACCGAGGCATTTCTCCCTGAGCCTGTTTCCCAAAAGAGGCACTCCAAATTCAGAGATGCTCCAGCAGGGTACTGGTGCCTCAGCTCCCGTCGCAGCCTGGGGTGGGGGAAGACACGGACAGGGTCCCAGCCTCCGAGTACAGCTGGTGTGCCAGGCCTGCCTGCCCAGGGTACGTGGGACACCCACCTCCTTGAAGCACAGGTGTAGTGCCTGAGGGTTGTGTGTCCGGCAGGGCAGAGAGCTTCTGTCCAGGCTGGACATAAGGTGCCCCCTCTGCCTCGATCACAACAGAACCTCAGACTCCATAAGGGAGGCAGGGCCAGCATGAAGACCTGCAGCTTAGGGTTGGAAGCCCCCTCAAGCCAGTGTCAGGAGCCACTGAGGGCTGCTGCGGGGTCTCGCTGCTCTGCACAGGGCCACAGTCCCCCTCCCAGCCTGCCTTTTGGCATCCAACTCTGTTCCTGTTGAAACTCAGAGGTTGTGCAGTTGAAATCAGTTATTGTACATAGATTTAGATTTCGCTTTTTCCAAGAACATTCTAAGAATTTATTGTGAATTTATTTAGTAAACATGTTATATGCTGACTGAGACCCCATAGATTTAGAAAATACCTTTCCTAAAGCAAAATAGGTAGGCATAATAACAAGTCAGTGAAGCGTTGCTTCACACGTTCACGCGTATGCAGAGCAGGAATCTCAGCTCCTCCTCTCTCAAGCTGTTGCACCCGCACATGTCATGTGGCGTTGGGCAGCCACCACTGTAACACACAGGAGTGAGTGGGCAGCAGGTGTGCCAGGGAGCTGCCAGGAGGGCTCAGAGGCCCTGGGCCACGCCTTGGGAGCTGCTGAACAGTAGGCAGGCTCGTGGCTCAGCAGGAAGAGGTCCTGTTTCAAAGGTTGTCAAGCCCTGACCGCTTGTCTGAACTCAGAAGGCCATAATAAGCACCCAGCAGGCCCCTGTGGTCTGTTGCGTTTGCCTTGGGATCTTTTTCTCAGTCACAGCTTCACTGAGATGCAGTTGGTGTGCACAGGGTGTGTAATCCACCTTTTAAAGTGTGTCCTCCACTGGGTGCAGCGACCACACCTGTGACCTCAGCAGCTCGGGAGGCCAAGGCGGGAGGATTGCAAGTTTGAGGTCAACCCTGGCATTGTAGCAAGATTCTGTCTCAAAATGAGGAATGTTTAAACAGGGCACGGGTGTGGCCTGGTGGTAGAGGCTGGCTCAAGGCCAGGCTCCTGCCCAGTGCAGTGGAGTATGATCCAGTGGTTTTTACTCATAGGCCAGCACAGCCGCCGATTGGCGCCCTGTCTCACAGTTTGCCTGTTCTGGAAAACTTGGGGTCTAGCTGCTTTCCCCTTGCACACTTTGGGGTGGTAGTTCATTCTTATTTAGTTATTTTTTGCAGTACTGAGAATTGAACTCAGGGCCTCATGCGTGCCAGGCAAGTGCTCTGCCACTGAGCCACATCCCCATCCCTTTTTGTTTTTCATTTTGAGACCAGGCCTCACTAAGTTGCCCAGGATGGCCTTGACCTTACTGCCCTCCTGCCTTGGCCTCCCAAGTCCCTGTGTCCAGCAGTGCATGGGTTTGAGGTGTGCCGGTGTTGTGGGCTGTTCAGAACAGTATTTCTTTCCATGACTGAGAAACACTGCATCTGTGGGGGGACCATGTTTGTCCATCGGCGTTGCAAGTTTATGTGGCTTCTGCCTCTGCTCTGGTGGACAGTGCGTGTGGACGTTTGCACACGGCTCTCTACGTGGGCCTGTTCTTGTTCCTCTTGTGTGTGACGGGGTGGAGCACTGTCCAAGGGTGGCCTCTTCCACAGTGGCTGTGCCATGCTGTTCCTCCCAGCAGCGAGTGTGCCCTGCACGCCCCCTACCTCTCGCCCAGCCATCATCCGTGCAAGGTGACACACTGGGTTTGGAGGGCGTTTCCCTCTGGCCGCACTGCCAAGGTCATCTGGGCTGGTCGTCCCTCCGTCCTGGGAGCCCTTCTCCTTGCTCACCTGGACTTCCTCAGTGGGGTCTCCACTGGGTAGACAAGCATGACTCCACACAGGCAGTCTGGCCTGGCTGGGCTGCCCTCACAGGGCTGAGGGCTGCCTGGGCCTGGCGCTGCAGCCAGCCGTGCTCAGTGCCTCTCCTTTCCTCTCACGGCAGGAGCTGGAGAAGTGTGACGCCAACCACTATATCATTCTGTTCCGTGACGCCGGCTGCCAGTTCAGGGCGCTGTACTGCTACTACCCCGACACCGAGGAGATCTGCAAGCTCACCGGCACGGGGCCCAGGAGCATCACCAAGAAGATGATCGACAAGTTATACAAATACAGCTCAGACCGCAAACAGTTCAACCTGATCCCAGCCAAGACCATGTCCGTCAGCGTGGATGCACTCACCATCCATAACCACTTGTGGCAGCCCAAGCGGCCCGCAGTGCCAAAGAAGAACCAGACTCGTAAGTGACCCCAGTGAAGCCCGGGGTCTGAGGACATGCCGACGGGATCCATAGTTACTGTTCCGTCTACTGGGGTACGAAGCGTGCAGAGACACTGACCTTTTTTCAGAGGTGTTTAGACCACAACAGGAAGCCCTCTCTCGCCTCCTTGCACGCACAGGGCATGCTGGGAGGGCCAGAGGGGGGCGTACGTGCCCTGTTTTCAGTGGCAGCTGCTGTGGTCCCTGCTGACCAACGCGGCCCTCAGATGGGGACGTCGTGCGGCGAGGTCTCCAGTGTGCGTCCCCCTCGCTTGCCCCTCCACACGCTGCCTGCTGCCCTCCAGTTGGCCAGCGCAGGCGTGCTCTGCAGTCAGGTGTGTGAATGTCTTCCTGAGAGGAGCTCGTGTGGAGTCTTTATTTGAGAAGTTGTCTATTTATTGATTGTTCTACTGCCAACATCTACATCCAGTCCCGAGATGTCTGAACAAGTCCTTGTTCCTTGCTGCTCAGAGAAGCTTACTGAGGTTCCCAGTCCACTAAAGGCACTGAAAGCAGCAGTCAGTCTCTGCGGCACCCCTTTACAGGCGTGGAGATGGCGACTGCGACAGGCGGCCGTGCGGATGGCCGGGTACTGCTGGCTGGTGTTGGCCTGCTGTGAGGTGGTGCTGGGCCATCAGGGGCTGTGCCGGTGACGCTGGGTAGGGGCTGGTGGTCTGTTCACTTAATAAAAGCAGATTTTGGTACAGTTAGCGCATCTGTCCCTCTGAGCGGGTCTCTCCTGAGATGCTGCACAGGGCCGAGACTTTCTTTGTGGTGGTGTGACGTCTGTACCTGCCGTCGCGCTCTGGCTTGAGGAGTAGCATGCTCTGCAGGGTGTACAGGCAGGTGAGGGTGGTGACTTTGTCTTGTTGCCTATTTAAAAGCAATTATGTGGTTATTTGCAGTTATTCCAGAACTCAAGTAAAGTGGAGTGGCTTTGGGTTCTTTCCACATGGGTCCCAGTGGCGGCTGATGCTTCTCCAGAGCAGACGTTCCTGGGGAGCAGGTGCATCCCAGCCCCAGCCACGGCTTGTGCCACGCGGCAGAGACACCTGTGTGACGGACCAGCTGCCGGAAGATCCTGGAGCCACTTATGTTAGTTTTGCACATATTTTCTTGGGAGTGTTACTTGAATCTATCTTGAACTGCAGAAAAAAATTGACGATAATAGAAGAAGTTAGAGACAGGTATAACTGTCACACAGTGTTAGGTAGAAAGGTGACGGAGCTGTGTGCAGAGGAAGGAGGGGACATGGTACGGGACAGGAGAGGGAAGCCCAGGCCTCCTTCAGTTTCCTCATCCTTTGAAGAAGGAACATGGCCTGCTCCGACTGTGTAAATATCGTGCCGGGCCCTGCGCTGCTGTGGAGTGACCGCAGCCCGTGCCGAGATTAAAGTCTGGACGTCTGTCAACATGCTTCTGCACGTGTGCTCTGTTCTCCACTGTCCCCTTGGTTCATGTTGCTGTTTGTATTGGAAAGAGCCCTGGAATGTCATGAAGAGTGAGCCGTATGCACCCCCGCCCCAACCCTGTCCCAGTGCAGGGTGGGCATTGGCTTCCCCTGGCCTCCTGCGGAGCTCCTGGGTGAACTGGCTTCCTGGAGGTGCTCCACCACGCACAGAGCATCCTGTCTGCGGGCCGGCCCCGCTGCCGCGTCTGACGTCTCTGGATGCCAGGGCTTAGGCCTCGTTGCTCGGGGTGGGGACGGGTCCTTGGTACGCAGCCTCTGCGTTGTTGGGGGAGCTTCAGGCCCAAGGCGTGCCCAGTGGGTGATGCCAGGCCTTTCTGGCAGGGAGGTGATGTACCCCTTGAATTAGCCCCAGCGGGGCTCTTGTCAGGCCTGTGCTTCCTGAGTGCCTGCGGTACCTCAGTGCCACATGCAGGTCACCAAGAGTGTGTCCGTGTTTCAGCCTGCAGCCTAGTGGCGTGCTGGCACTTGGTGGTGACAGAAGCCTGGGGACAGAGAGGCTGGAGTCTAGACAGAAGGAGCTCGATGAGGCCCATTGTCCACAGACCACATGGAAACGCCTGGGCGAGGGTGCGAGGGTGCGAGGGTGTGCAGGCACATGTAGGGGTGTGTGTGGGCATGGGGTGTGTGCGCATGTGTGAGGGCATGTGTGCATGTCTGTGGGCATGGGGTGTGTGCATGGGTGTATATACAGAAGTGTATGCGCATGTGAGGGTGTGTGTGTGAGGACATGTGCATGTGTGGGTGCCGCAGACAGACCATCTCCCTTGTGTCCTCTGAGCCATTTCTGAGCGTGTTGCTGCCATGCAGCCTCAACAAATTTCAGGCCCAACCTGAGTTCTGCACTCAGGTGGCTTTGAGAAGGGGAAGAGTACAAAAAGTCCTTCAAGATCCGACTTTCATTCCCTGAAGTGCTAGCTTGAGGGAATTGAGGGAAAGTATTTACTGAAACACAGCTTTCTGTTCAATTCTGCTGGGTACCCTTCACAGGCTGGCTTTTATCTACCCTGTGAAGATAGATAATGTGGTCCTGCCGCTGGCCGGGAAGCACGCTGGCCTTGCCTGCCTTCTCCAGGCAGGACTCAGAGGAGCCCTGCCTTGGCTGAGAAGACGGCTGCAGGACAGGTGGGGTGTTGGCATCAGACAGAGCTGTTTGAGGGGTCTCCACACTCTGCCTCTCAGTGCTGTGGCATTATTGGGGACTTCAGAGGGCAGAAGCCACCCTGATAAGACTCGGGCTCCCTGAAGGACCTTAGTGCATAAGCAGTAGGTCCCTCCTGTGCCTCCCAGGATCATGACCTGGGAAGGCAGGTTTGGGTTGTAGAAACAGTGTCCTAATTGCTGTGCCACCTGGAAGAGGGACAGTCTCTGTAAACAGGGACCTTTGTGAACATCTCAGGCTCTTCTGTCCTTTAGAAAGAGCAGGTTGAATTTTCCAAAGTGTCTCCTCAGTTGAGAGGGGGTATTTTGCCAAAGTCGTGTGTGCTGGGGTAATAGCAGAGAGATGTCACACAGTGGAGGGTCTGAACTCCCCGCGGCAGGCGCAGGCCATAATCTGCAAAGGGGGAGGTAGAGGGTTTCTGCCGTGAAAATCTGGATTGCCTCTGGAGCAGAACAGGCAGTAGTAAGCCACACTGCCCATGATCGTGGAACTCACCCCACCCTTCCCCGTGGGACCACCTTTTCCCTAATAGGTCACCAAATAGGTGACAGCAGGAAGCTGAGCTAGGGCTGGCTGCTTCTCTCGGAAGCCACAGGTTGGGCACAGCAGCACAGCCTATAATCCCAGCTGCTCTAGAGCCTAAGGCAGGAGGATTGCAAATGTGAAGCCAGCCTGGTAACTTAGCCAGGCCTTGTCTCAAAATTTAAAAAATGGGCTGGGGATGTCACTTGGTGGTAGAGCACCCTCTGGGTTCAATCCTCAGTAGCAAAAACCAAACAGAAACATAGAGTAGGGGGAGGAGGGGCAGATCTGTCCAGAAGTAGTGGGTGGTTCGTGACTTCTGGGACAGGGACTGGGCCTCTCCCAGAGACAAGTTCTGTCTTCCAGTCCTACATGGGCTCGCTTCCATTGGGGTCAGAGGTGGACCAGAGTGCTGCAGGTGGAAGTCTGTCAGGGCCACACTTGGCCCCTCTGGGGAACTGGATCTCCTGGGTTCACAGCAACAGCCTGGTCCCGCTGCCCCTGTGGCTGGCTGGCTGGCTGGGCGTCAAGTCTGGGGCAGGTCCACAGTGAGGAGAAAGGACTGTTTCTCAGGGTTAAGGAAGGTATTTGCCTGGTGACAAGACGATATGTGACCTGAGCACCTTAGCTGTGGTAACCATGCTGTCTGGGCCCCTGCAGGTGTGTGCTCGGGCTCCCTGGGAGACCATCGTGGATGCCGCCCATCGGCAGGTCTGGGGATGTGGACCTGGCTGCTGACCAGGCGATGCACACTGATAATCTGCTGTCCTGCCCTAGAGAGGCACACCAGGATGAGGCGCACCTCCAGGGGCCTATCTGGTGCGAGCACCTGGTAAATACGAGCGAGGGCTCAGGGTGAATCTGTGTTCACTTAGGAAGGTGACTCTGGAAGCCAAAGCCTGCGCCCTTCCCTCCCTCAGGCTGCACCTGGCCTGTCCCTGTGCCAAGTGCTCAGCTGGCACTTCACAGCACAAAGCTTGCCTGGGGGTGTCACAGCCCCCCAGCCCATGTCTCCCAGCCTTGAGTCCGAGGAGCTGCTGCCAGTCACACTGCCACCCTGCGGGTCCTGGAGTTCTGCTGTCAGAGATGTTGAAGTGTGGAGGGTGGGGGTGCAGCTCAAACCCCGGGAAGCACCTTGCCAGCCGAGAGGCAGCAGGAGGGTGGTTGCCTACTGGGCCGGGCAGGGTGGCTCCAGACTCAGCCGGGGAAGCCCCAGCTCCTGAGCAGTGGCAGCGTGTTGGGGAGCTTTGCTGCAGGCAGAGATGGTGACTGAAGGTTGAAGTCCCTGCCCCAGGGTGTGCCAGGGCCCCCAAGACCCTAGAGCCCCAAGGTTCATATAGATGTCGCAGGGCATGAGAGTAGGTGTGCCCAGCACCGACCCATCTGAGGTTTCAAGTTCAGGCTGCCTTTGAGGCCTGGGACCCATTCCCTTCCCTCAGGGCTCCAGGCCCCCTAGAGCAAGGTGAGTGGCTCCCCCTGGGCCTCAGGCTGCAGCCTCCGTCCAGCTGTTGCCCCGGGCCAGCCCCTCCTCTGTGGCCTGGCCAGTTCATCAGAAGGCATCAGTTAGTCAGGTTTTTCAGAAGATGCTAAAACTCTTCCTGGAAGACATGACCATCCGCTGCTCCCAGGGCACGTCTAAAAAACCCTGACCGAACTTGGTGCTTTTAGACAGGAGAAAAGCCCCTGAGGTCATGGGAAGGGCCAGGGCAGGGCTAAGGTGAGGGCACAGCGTCAGGCAGAGGTGGCCTGGAGGCTCCTGAGGCCTGTGCCCACTGCTCTTTGTCGTGCCTGCCTGGCGTGAGAGGCTGGGACAAACTGAGTGGAGCTGGGCAAGGGTACCCCAGCCCGTTAGCTTTGGGGTTTGCTTTCTGTCCACTGTGGTCTATCACTGGGACACTGTGCACATTCACTGGCTGATTGGTGTCACCGGACCAGTGGCCATCCACCCATTTTCTGTTGCTTGTCCTTGTTTGTGGTCCCTGCCTTGCCCTCCTTTGCTCTCCAGCTCAGCTGAGCCTCCCACGGTGTGCATCCTTTTCCTCACAGGCCCACCTGGGTCTGCAGTGCTCCTGCCCCCCTCGGCCCTGCCATTCCCGTCACCCACCCCCAGGTGGCAGCACTCAGCTGTGAGCCAAGTTTCCTGCTAGGTCAACCAGAAATAAGGAAAATAAAGGTCCTCTCCATAATTTTGTTTCAAATTTTATGCTGCAAAGCCTTTAAATTCTAGCTCATTCTGGGCAGCGGCAGCTGCTGATGGTCAGTCTGGATCCCCCACTTAGCAGAATGGGTGTCTTCCGAGGGGTTCATCAGAGTTAGGACCCTTGAGTACCAGCGGTCAGTGAGGACAGAGGAGTAGGACTGACCTCCTTGGTGCCAGGACTACACAAGCCAGGGGTGTTGGCAAATGGACCCAGGACAACCAGAGACGTACCCACGTGTCCCCGGGCCTGGAGACAGAGATGGAGGTCGAGACAGAGTGCAGGAAGTTCTGGGTGTGCAGGCAGCTTTTATTGGTCTAGGAGCATCTCACAGTACACAGACCCTCCTGACCCCAGTGCTGGCCGGGTCCACAGCAGCCTCTGAACCTGGGCAGGGTGGAGCAGCCCTGGTCAAGGGCCCAGTGTCCTCAGTGGCTAGCAGAGGTTCATGGATTGCCCATCACCTTGAATGGGGCTAGACCCAGAGTGACAGCCCTCCCTCCTGCTGTGAGATGCTTGTCACAGGATGAGTCCCAGGTACCCACTCTTTACAGCACAAGGCGCTGCAGCCCCACCTAGTAGAAGCCAAGGTGGCTCTCCCACCCCTTGGCCCAGCAGCCAAATAGGTGACAGCAGGAAGCTGGGCCATGGCAGTAGGATAGGGGCTGGGGACACTGAGTATACATGGAGGTGGGCTCAGACCCCTTGCTGTCCACTGCAGCACCCCAGGAGCTGCTGACAGATCTAGTACAGCAGGGCTGAGCTCTGGCCACCTAGCCAACGTCAACCACCTGCCCTCCATCAAGCCCCAAGACTTCCCTGCTCCTGAGTCTGCACAGTCCCTCCCTGCCCACGTGCATCCCTCTGTCCTTGTCAGCGCCTCACCCAGGCACTTTCTGAGCAGGCAGGCCCCTGGTGGGCCAGTGCGCAGGGTGGGGAGGCTGAGCCCCAGGTGTGTGGCACCCTGCCAGCCAGGCCTCCCACGCAGTTTTCTGTAGTCCCTGAGCTGCCTGCCCACCTCTGGGGAGCCATCTATCCTGATGCTGGGGGCGAGCTGTGCCC